GCCCTTCTTCATCTTCACTCGTGTCTGTACATCCTGCTGCTGCTGCTGCTCCTGCTGCTGCTGCTGCTGCTGCTGCTGCTGCTGGAGGTTCCGACGGGGAGAGTGCAGCAAAGCATGCAGCGCTGCCAGCTAGCTGCTGCTGCTGCTGCTGCTGTTGCTGCTGCTGCTGTTGTCGTTTCGTTTGCACTGGTACGGAGCGTGTCTTGAGTCTTTGCGTTGCTGCGTGTTGCTGTTGCTGCCCCTTTTGCTGCTGCTGCTGCTGCTGCTGCTGCTGCTGCTGCTGCATGCGCTGCAGCAGCAGCAGGTTGGGGGCGATGAGAGACCACCTGAATGTTGCTGTTGGCTTGTCGTAAGAAAACCTCTCCACTCTGCTGCCCCTCAGCTGCCAGCAGCAGGTAGCAGCAGCAAAGTCTATCCAGGCAGCTAGATCCTCATCCCTCACCATACCCCTGCTGCTGCTGCTGCTGCTGCTGCTGCTGCTGCTGCTGCTGCTGCTGAGGGGGCAGCTGCGCAAGAAAGGGAGACGCTTAAAGGAATACAGCACAGAACCCTGCAGCAACAAAAAACGAAAAGCAAAACGTTTTGTATGCCGTGTCTGGCGCTGCAGCCAGCCTGCACGCAGAAACAACAAGTTGCTGCTGCTGCTGCTGCTGCTGCTGCTGCTGCTGCTGCTGCTGCTGTTGCTGCTGCTGCTGCTGTTGCTGGGGAGAGGGCTGGGGCCCCCTGTAGGAGGGAAACCAACGAGGCGACTCCGGGTTGATGCTACTGCTGTTCCTGCTGCTGCTGTTGCGCGTTCTGCTGCTGCTGCTGCTGTTGCTGTTGCAGGTAATGCTGTCGCTGTTGCTGCTGCTGCTGCTGCTGCTGCAGGAGCTGCTTGTGCTGCTGCGGTTGCTGCTGCAGGCGCAGCAGCAGCAGGATGGAGAGGAAGACGTATCTCTGTCTTCTCTCTCTCCTTCGGGATTTCAGCAGCTGGCAGCAGCGCGCCTAGCGCAGCATCTGCTGCTGCTGCTGCTGCTGCTGCTGCAGCATCTGCTGCTGCAGCAGTCTCATCTTCGCTGCTGTCTCCACTGTCACGCTCGCTGCTGCCTTCCCGCTGCTGCTGCTGCTGCTGCTGCTGCTGTTGCTGCTGCTGGTGGTCTTTATCATCTTCTTGCAGCTCCTGCAGCGCCATTCCTGTTTCGGCGCTTCAGTTGCTGCTGCTGCTGAGGCCGCTGCTGCTGCTGCTGCTGCTGCTGCTGCTGCTGTTGTTGCTGCTGCTGCATTACTACTGGGAGCCGCTAAAGTGCAGCAGCAGCAGCCGACAGTAACACTGCTGTCTCTCCTGCTGTTGCTTGCTCCTGCTGCTGCTGTTGCAGCTGTCGCTGCTGCTGCTGCTGCTCCAGCTGCTGCTGTTGCTGCTGCTGCTGCTGCTGCTGCTGAGTTTCAAATGAGGAGAGAAGAGAGACATTAAGCGAAGAAACAGATTTCCTTCTTCTTCCTTCGGTCCTGCATAAGCTGCAGCAGCAGCAGCTGCTGCTGCTGCTGCTACGTGTCGGCGGCGGCCTGCAACAGCAGCAGCAGCAGCAGCAGCAGCAGCAGCAGCGCATGCACAGAGAGCCGCGTATCTCTCAGAAATATTGCCATAAGATGCTGCAATTAGTAATTGCTTTGCTTCCATTCGCACGCTAGCACTGTTGCTGCTGGTGTTCCTGCTGCTGCTGCTGTAGCTGCTGCTGCTGCTGCTGCTGCTGCTGCTGCGGCTGGGGGCCCCTTGTGTGGGGCCCTCTTGTCGACCCCAGCGACCCCCTACTGGGGTAAGAGAAGAAGTAACAGCTGCTGCAGTGCATGCAGCAGCAGCAGCAAGACGTCTAGCAGCAGCAACAGCTACAACAGTAAGCGCTGCTGCAGCAGCAATAGCAGCAGTAGCTGCAACGGCAACANAGCAGCAGCAACAGCTACAACAGTAAGCGCTGCTGCAGCAGCAATAGCAGCAGTAGCTGCAACGGCAACAGCAGCAGCAACGGCAGCATCAGCAGCAACAAACGGCGGAGACAATGACCACCAGGGAGCAGCAGAGAGCAGCAGACACCGAGGCAGACTGCAGCAGCAGCAGCAGCAGCAGCAGCAACAGTTGCAACCGCAGCAGCAGCAGCAACAGCAGCAGCAGCAACAGCAGCAGCGGTGGGTATGCATGAGTAGCAGGCAGAGGAAGGAGAAAAGAGGCAGCAGCAGAGGCTGCAGCAGCAAGAAGAGACAAAAACAAACGGAAACAAAAACAAACAAACAGAGATAAACAAAAAAGAAAAACACAGATGCATAGGGAGACAGAGCAGA